TTTCGATTTCCATGTCTGCACTATTGCGCTGAAATTTGAAAAATCGTAACTTCCTCTTATGAAGTCAGATTTGGACGTCTTTATATGCACACTCTCGGTTTTACGATTACTATGTTTTTCGTCTAAGCAACCTATCTAAAATTCACTTTTTACAATACGCTGAGCCATGTCGGTTTAATCGCGAAACTTCGAAGAAACATAACTTCTTTATACGAAGTTGAATTTAATCATTCTATATATCTACGGAAATCGTATCGATGTTTCCTACATGATTATGATGATTACTTGGGCCAAGAAGTAATATATTTCTATTTTGAATTTTATAAACGACGGTTTATATTAAATTTTATTGAACGGTAAAAATGGGGTGTTACAGGTGGTGACCTGGTACAATCATTATTTTCACACCTTTGGAGAGTAGGAATTTGCCAAATTGGATGTGGTGATTAATGTGGTCGAAATTGGGATTAAAATCGGAGAACATGAGGTTAATTCCTAGGTAGATGTTGTTCCACGACTGTTGCTTTGTGATACTTGCAGATTGAGTGAGGTTAATTTTGGGGTATATATTACTAGACATATAAGTTACTTTCCAGGTATATATCTAATAGCTCGATGGAAATGTGTTTACATACATGGATTTCAAGTTTTCTCTAGTGAATAAATTCTTGAGTGGTAAGATAGAATAACTTCTTGTATTTGGCTGTGGTATTACCGTCGGAGAAGATTATAGATTTGAAGTAAGGAAATGAAGAAGAAGATGGCGGAGGTGTCGATCGGGTGAAATTGGAATGGGGTGGTAGGACCTAACTGATTATCAAATATTTTTTTTAATAAATAAATAACCAATAAGCATTAAATTAATTAAAAATGAAATATACAAGGGTAATATAGTCTTTTTACATTTGGTAAGGATCTAAATGTGTAACAAAAACATATAATAGGGACTATCCAAGTTTAAAAAAGCTATTAATGACCAAATACGTAAATTACCCCAAATCATAGGGACCATTTATGTAATTTACCATTTCTTGTACTTAGTCTAGTTTGATGTTGGTTGTTTATTAATAACTAGGTGTGAGATTCATGTATTACATGAGTTTGCTTAAAAAAAAGTAAATACAAAATTCTAAACATTTGAAAAATATGAATTTATAAGAAAAGTGAGAAAATATTGAATTATAAAAGTTAAAGTGTTTTTTTTTCTCTTTTAAATTTAAACAAATAATTTAGATAAATAAATAAAGAAAATTAATGAATCTTTAATTTAATAATTTTGAAATTAGAATGAAAGTTCATTAATGAAATTGATATGCATTTACTATCTATAATTTAATAAAATAAAAGAAATCATAAAATGACATGTGGAATAAAAATTAATTTAAAATAACCATAAAATTATATGTGGCAAAATAAATAAGAATGTGACATGTGACAAAAAAATCTTTATTTATTAGAGATGATGTTGTCGTTTTAAAATTGAAAGAAAATGAAATTTTTATTCTTGCAAATGCCTCTCAAAATAGATGGACATCCGTAGGAAAGTTCGAAATTGTGACTGTTTTTAAATGGAGCACACATATTGCTATTTTATGTTTTTCTCATCGTTTAATATGTAAGATATATAGAATCTATAGATCTTATCAAATCAAAACGCAGAGAGCCTGTTTTTCTCATCATTTTTTCACTCATATTTCGAAAAAAAAGGATATTTTTTTTATTTTTTAAATTTTTTTTAGATAAATTAAATAACGAAAATAATATTTAAAAAAGAAAGAATTTTTGGATTTTTCCTTTTATTTTTCTTTTTATAATTTTTTTTTATATTATTTGATCTTCAAGATGAGTGGCTAGAATTTCGTCCCTATGTCTCACAAAATTAACATAATCTCAAATGAACCTATATATATATATATATATATATATATATATATATATATATATATATATATATATATATATATTCAATTTTGGTATCCTGGTGTCACCAACTAGTATTACATCAACATGTCACATCAACAAAATCGACACGTTAGCTGTCAACTGAGTTGTCCGGTTAAAATGTGAAAATTATAACAAATTGATAAGAAGAGTATGCAATTTAAGACAAAAAAAGAAAATAGTGTCAAAATCAATTTTTTATTAAAATTTATTAAATTTTGTGGAATTTGTCTATTAGTAGTTTTTAGCCGAACCATCTTAGAAGAGTTCAAATTTCGTTTTGTGAACAAAATGGTTTGGATTTCTTTTGAAAACATTCCACTTGGATTACTTTTGATTAATCTAATGTAGATATTCTTGATTTATCATCATATTGAAATCGGATAAAAGTTATATATACAAAATTGGTATCATCGACATCAATAAAATGACAAATTATGATAATTACCAACTTAGCATGACACTGTTTTATTAAGTGACATGGGGGCGTTGAGGGAGGGCAAAATGGACAGCTGTATAAGGCCCATTTTTTGTATTATATATTATATATAAATTTTTATTAAAAATAATAACGACAAGGGCCTCTTTTTTCTGACTCGTCATGAGCCTTTGAGGATATTTAATTCCTCAGGATCGGCCATGTTGATATCACATCTTTGAATGATTGTTACTCATCAAATATAACACCAAAACAACAAAATTATAATATAAAATCATCTACAAATTCTAAATTACACGTTGGAAAAAACCGCATGTCAATCCGATTTAAAACGAATGAGATATTTTTGTTTAAAGAATTTCATAGAATACAAAAGTTTAAGTTTCATGCTGAAAAGTTGAAATATTTCTTTGATATCTCATATTTGAAGGATTGTAACTTATCCAATATAACACAAAAAAAAATTAAAAATTAAAATAAAATTATAGTCTAAAATCATCTAAAAACTCTAAATTACACGTTGGAAAAAGCCGCATGTCAATCCGACTTAAAACTAATGAGATATGTTTGTTGAAAGAATTTCACAGAATACAAAAGTTTAAATTTTCTTGCTGAAAAACTGAAATATTTCAACTTTGTTATCTCATCTTTGAAGGATTGTAACTAATCGAATGTAACACCAAAAACGACAAAATTATAGTCTAAAATCATCTACAAACTCTAAATTACATGTTAAAAAAACTGCATGTTAATATGACTTATAATGAATGAGATATGTTTGTTTAAAGAATTTCACAGAATACAAAAGTTTAAAATTCTTGCTGAAAAGTTGAATATCTCATCTTTGAAAGATTGTAACTAACCGAATATAACACCAAAAACAATAAAATTATAGTCTAAAATCATCTATAAACTCTAAATTACACGTTGGACAAAACCGCATGTCAATCCGACTTAAGACAAATGAGATATGCTTGTTTAAAGAATTTTACAGAATATAATTTTTTTTAAAAAAAATAAGTCAGTCCAAAATTGGTTTTTACCCAGAACCAGCCAAACCGGACCGGTTTTGCTCAAATCCTAGAACTGAGAACCGGCCCGTGGGTCCAAAAGAACGATCCAGTCCGGTCTGATTCACTGGTCCGATCCGGTATATAGGTCCAAATGTTCACCCTTAATATCATCATTATCTAAGGATACGTCATGTGAGCAGCAACCCTACCAAAATGACATATTTTAGTCAAGATAACCTGTTGAATATGACATTCACACTCAAGCTCACAAAGGTATGCAACTTGAACAAGATACTCCCTCAACTTTTCAAATAATAGTTTGAATTGTTGTTGTAAAAGAGGAACCCACTTTAGAAGACCGTGTGAAAGCAATGTATCACTTTATGTGTAGGTGGTTTATAACACATTTGTGAATTTTATCAACCATTTGTTGATTATTTATCAATTATCATAGTGTTCAATTGGTTTTTCTTTATTTTTTCATTTTTAATTTTTCTTTATTGTTCTTTCAATCCAACTCGTTGCAACATGTTTTATCACAAATACATCAAATTTATGCATCACTACCTCAATCCCAATCAATGTACCATGAGTTACAACTAAACTATAGAAAAACATAAACGCTTCTCTTCACATAACCTCTCTAGAAAAAGCCGCCATAACCAACATCGGTCTTAGCAAATATTTATCTTCTACATCTATATTATTATTTGCAATAGGTTGTATAAATAAATAGTTAATGTGTTATTTGTTGTTTAGTGCATAAGATTTTCATGTCAATCAGGTTAAAGAAACATATAAGTCTCTCTTCTGTCAACATATGAAATGTAAAAAGATCTTTTACACCATAGGGTTCTCCCATTCCTGCCCCCACATAATTCAATGTATTATCCCTTCAATTACATTTCACCTAGGAATTGTTACCTCTCACTCACCCATTAAATATAATGAAAGGGTGTTGCTAAATAGACATCTCATGAACATCCTTTAACAAAAGTCAACCTATCATTAACTATTTATAATTAACTTTTTAGCAAAAAAACAATACAGTTTCAACCAATAGAAATAATTGAATTATCAGGTAATGTGTGTCAAGTCCATTGTAGGTCACACCACAACCTTATAAGTTGAAATGTATACCTTACATTTAAATATTAGTTGGTACATTTGTCGAACCAATTTAAGATTTGTTGGGACTTTACACTTGTGAATGTGATCTTGTCGAATCAAATACCCTTGTCCTGGTTAGTATTCTTGTCCTCTCATGATACCTATAGTCCCATTTATGGATTTGCTACCGACCTTGTAAGTTTTTACAAACTATTTTTGATGATCAAAATGTGATAGGCATTTACAATTACATTGACATCAGTCTAAAAACACAAGGGCGTGCTGTCCTTATTAACAAACAAAGCACAAAAAACTCGAATAGCAAACAGAACATATGCCGAGTAGTATTAGCATAAACAGATCAAACACCAAACACCAAGAAAATAAATTGTACATCAACACCATTTCTCAGGTGTATACACACAAGATATTATTCAATCTTCTACGCATTCAACTAAAAAACCCAATCTGTTTTATCATATTTTAAATTTCAAATTTCAATCCGATACGTATGATTCGTTGACTTCTATCAATGCATGTGGCTGTGCATTTAACACGTTCACATCTACATGGTTGAGACCCCATATACGTATGGTTCGATCATCACTAGCCGATGCCAACATATGTGGGTTCACCGGGTTCCAACTAGTACAATTCACAGCTCCAGAATGACCTTCAAGCCTCTCTATGACATCACCCGAATCTCTATACCATATAAACACCCGAGAATCTTCACTCCCACTAGCCACAAATCCTTCCCCAAGTCCACCAAAACAAGCCCTAACCACAAATCTTGAACATTTATGACCTTTATACTTGCCCAAAATCCGTATACTTCCTTCAATACTCCATAGATGTATTTCTTTATTCACCAGACTCACCAGTAAGAACTTGTTGTCCTTTGATAAAGAGAAGGAAACTATGTTATGATCTTCTTTTATTAATCGTTGGTCTCCTGATTCTCTATTGAATATAAGTATCATAGTTTCCCGACAAATTGAAATTATAAACTTCCCATCGCCCGTTATTTGTAAATCAGAAATCCTAAGGGTTTTTTGCCCCTTCCAAGATTCCAACTCATTCCCGTTTAAATCCTACATTGTGATACTTTTGTCGTTAATTCCCGTGAATACCCTTCCGGAGACCACCCACATGAGATCATCCCGAGGTCATTTTTGTCATAAACATATAGTACTTTGCCGGAAAACACGTCCCACCGCATCACCACCTCCTCGACACCACATGTGAGGAGCTGATTGTCACAGGGACTCCATGACACACACGAGACTGATTGCTTGTGGCCCAATAATTCGTATTTAATTTTGAGTTTGCCATCAAGATCAACATCCCATATGACTGCGGATCTATCTTTGGAAGATGAAGCCAAGAATTTACCGTTGTGAGAAAACTCCAAGAACCAGACTTCATCGCGATGATGGCATAGAATCTGTGATGTGTGTAAGGGAATCTGACCTTTTCCACAGTTATGATCGATGAATAATGATGTATCCCCGTTTAAAGAATTGTGAAACGAACAAGAGTCACGTTGCAGGTCTACGGCTTGTTCTACTAAATGTAGCAGTCGGAGTTCTGGGATCATAACATTTGGGGGAAATAACTTCTGTAAATCACGGAGAACCTCTGATCTGGGCTTCGGTTTGATCGTTCTTTGATTAGATAACAACAAGAAGGAAGAAAGCTCACAAATACGATTCATGTTTATCGAAAGAGGCGATATTTCATTTCTTAATGCTCTTAGAGCGTTTTCTACCTTGTGCTCATTCAAAAGTTGAAGAAACTTCTGCTCTAAGATAACAAACGACGATGATTTGACAACAGATTCGTCCAGGCCGGATATTTTTCTCAATGAATTTAAGCTTTCATCCCAATTACCATCGAGAATCTGTTGGGCGAATTCAGTAACTCCAGATGAAGAAAGAGTAATGCCTGATTCTTTCTCGAGATATTCACCAGTTTTTTTATACCCAAGAGAATGTAATGACTCGGCAACCAATCTAACGAATTCGACTTTCCTAACTCCCTTGTAGCCGATTGTATCATCGGCTAGGGATTCAGCCATTGGAGAGTCAAGATCGGAAGATTCAATAATATCACTAGGCGACGACGACGATCGTTTCACTTTTATACGTTTTGATGGTGGTTGATTAGCCTCAACGCCTCCCATGAAATGCACACTCAGGTCATATACAAGAAGGAAATCAGATGGATAAATAGAAGAAAATCAATAAACCCAATTCAAATTATAACTAATTTGAATTCAGAATCAAGAATTGGTCCGGGATTTAAGAAACAATGTAATGGATTGTGTGTTATGAGATGAATAACATACCAAAGTCTTAAGGAGAATTTTAGAAGTAGATATAAAAGAAATGAATGAAAGAAGTTACGTGAAGTAACGTGGAAATTTGTTTTACCGGCGATGACGGTGGCGTGTGAAATTGAGAGATACTCAGATGAAAGAAAAGTTTCGAACCAGAGAATCGGGTAAAATGGTTCGACGTAGCGATGAATGTTGGACGGCGGTCGGCGGCGTTGGGTGGTGGGTTTAGTGATGAAAACCAATTGGATTGGTACTTCCTGAGAGAAGAAAAATAATAGAGAAAGCAAAAGGATTAATAAGGGGGAAATACACGTGGGCTTAGAAAGAAACACACAACACAGCAATGCTGCCAAAGTTACGGGCAAAATGGTATTGTAGACTTATATTTTATTATAGCCAACTATGTTACATCTTTTTGTTTAAATTGTCTTCCTTTTTTTAAGGAGTAAGAAATGTTGTTTGACCGCTAAATAGGTTGGTTTACCTGTTTTAAAAGGTTTCCCACACCAGCCCCAAATCCCAATCCACGTAAGATACTAAGTCAACTCTGAGTAAACTCAGTGTACATGTCACTAAGTTGAGTCCGATTCTTTGCTTGGGCCCTAAAGGTTACTGTGGACCCTAAGTTCTTAAAAGGAATGGTATTTTCAAGCAAACCCTAATTGTTTATTCCCATTTTCGGCCAAACCAAATCCGACAAGCAGATAACTTCCGTTTTCATGATAATCACGAGATGGATACCCCACCACCACAATCACCTGATTCCATATCGATAAATTCTCGTGATACGCTCAACTTTGGCAACTTGCACACTATCTTTTGCGATTGAGGGGTATAGATTGTTGAGCACATGATCGAAGTCGATTGATTGAAGGAGGAAATGAGTCGTGATATGGTCATTACGAGGGTGGATTTGCTCGTTATGCAACGTCGTTTAGAGCATACAAAGAAAAAGGTGCAATCTTTGACTATGTTGGTAGTGGGAATGACGGTGTTGATGTTTGGTTTCATGGTGGACAAAGTTCATTATCTAATGAAGAAGTGATCTTTAAGTGTCAATGTGTTTCTTTTGATTAGGTATGGTTGTGTTTGTGTTCTTTACATAGTGATGTGTTTGTGTTAGGGTTAATGTGTTATGTTGTTTTTTAGTGGTGTCTTGCTTATGTTGTGATGATGGAGGTTGAAGACCTGTATAAGCACAAATAATTTTGTATAAACTAACTAAATGTAACATTGTTCATCGAAATGGAAACGAAGACCTGATTAAAGTCAGGTTATGTTTTATGTTATGTTATGGAATGTGTTTATTTTAGATTAATAGTATTTTAAAATTTAAAATAAGGTTTTCTAAGACACTAACCCTCATTCAGTACTGTTGGGGGTAATTTCATCCTTTCGCCTTTTAGCCTCGAGTATATACAAATGAGACTGCTATCTGGCCATTTTTACCCTCTTTTTCTCTCTGTTGTCCTTGTTTCTTTGCAAGTAACATTACGAAGATGAAGGGAATGATTAAATCGGTGGAATGTTCATGTGGATTTGATGACATATTACAAACCTTAACTACTCAGTCCAATCCGGGACGACCCTTTCATGCTTTACCCAAAAAGGTAATATTCGATTGCATTTTCCTTCAACTTCATCTGTAACCCTATTCTTGAAAATGGTTATTTTCCTTTTCGTATCTTACTCGCAAATGTTTTATGTCAGGGTCCCAGTGATGGGTTTATATGTTGGGCATACGAAATGGAACTTTACGAACATAAGTCGTGAGACACGGTTAATTGCAAGTTTGGTTATGTCAAATAAGAAGCTTCACTTTGATGTTAGGAAACTTAAAGTTTTGTTACTGATGGGTTTTACATGTATTAACACGGATAAATCCTTAAACTCTTAAGGGTACATGCAACCTAAAGATCTATGTCATAACTTAATTGACGTAATATTCTATTGAACAACAAAAACTATAAACCCTAGGTAATTTTGAATATAACAAAAACAAAAGTAGGGTTTACATACCTTTTAGTTATTGTAGTAAATAACTAATCAAAAACCTTCTTGAAAAACTCTTGGAAGCAAGCACCACAAGTGTCATACCTCTAATGGTTCACACCCAAACCCTAGCAACCAAGGAACTTGAAGAAAGAAGAGCATAGAGGAGAAATTTCGGAATTCCTCTTAGGAATCATATCTTGGATGAAAATCAAACCCAAGAGGGTTTATATAGGTGATAGGAATGTATTAGATAAGGCAGATATCTCCAAGATAACCCTAATCCATTAACTTCATCCCTAAGGCATCCAAGACTCCTTAATGCCCAAGGAAAACCCTAGAACCTCTTCTAGAATTCGCCCCCCTCTATAGGAGGTTCTAGAATTGGTCAATGTTCAACTTTTGAACATTGTCACCTTTAGTCCTACTTTTAATTAATCCAATTAATCCCAAAATTAATTCAAATTAATTTCTGATTAATTATTAATTAAATAACAACATTTCAAATTAATATATTATTCTCATAATACATTAACAAATCATTTATTTTGATTTCTAATTAAATTATTAATCATATAATAAATTAATAAATCAGTCTCTCTCTTTCTCTTTCTCTCCCCCCTCTCTCTCTCTCTCTCTCTCTCTCCAAAAGTTATCCTATTTAATTACTAGGTTTGAGGATAACCCAAAAGGACTGTACTACTATCAATTCAAGTTTATACCAATTATAGTTATGGGCAGTGGCAAAGCTTCAATCTTTCATTTGGGGGGGGGGGGGCGAAAATATAATTTGTATAAAAATTGGTGAACAGGGGGGATAGTCAAAATTTTATATTTTTGGGCCTAATATGTATAAAACTAAAGTATAAGGACTATTTCCGCCAAAGTCAACAGTCCATGTTGACTAGACTCGTCGAGTGCAGTTCACCGACTCGTCGAGTCCTTCCTGAACTCGAGAAGTCGTGAAATCCTTGATTGGCTCGTCGAGTTCCCCTTTAACTCGCCGAGTTCATACGTGTCCAAGAAGTGGGAGAAACCCTAGCCGACTCGCCGAGTTCAAGGCAATCTTCAACGGACTCGCCGAGTTTGTTCATCAACTCGACGAGTTCACGACCATCTTCATATGACTCGCAGAGTTGACTATGCAACTCGCCGAGTCCTTGTAGACCTTCATCCATGCATACACTTTTTAAGCCATGCCAAGGTTCCAGATTACAGATCCAAGCTTCTAAGGCATGTTTAACATGTAAAGTTGCAAACTTTACACACATGCAAGGCCCTAAAGGCTCTAAATGATCAATCTAAGCTTCTAATGGATCTTTACACCAACGGGAGAGTCTCATCCTTGCGAAAGCTGGAAACTTTATGGACTTAGGACTCAAAAGAGGTTCAGATCTGAAGTTTCAACTTCAAATCTAGCTCTCATACCAACATCCCTTCATGAATAACTAAGAAAGCCCTAGTTTTCACATATAAATGATTCTAGAAGAAAAAGAGGTTAAGGTAACAGTTGGTTACCTCCAAAATGTGCCCAAACGGAAGTAGACTCTGGATCCACACGGAAATCTTGATGCTAGCCTCTTGATCTACAAGTTTCCTTCACAAAAGTCACTCCCCAAAGCTCCAAAACACTCTCTAAGCTCTCACTCACAACAATTAGGGTTTCTGGGTCTCAAGAGGGTGATAGAGGACAGTGGGAGGCGCTAATGGTCCAATATATAGGGTGCAAAAACCCTGAAAATTAGGGTTTCCACTACCAGCTCCTACTCGTCGAGTCCCTCATGCCGACTCGACGAGTCATTCATTAATTGACGTGTCCTGGCCCGCTGCTACTCGACGAGTCAAGCGCCAACTCGTCGAGTAGACCTTAGACATGAAGTCTAAATGGAAAAATTAATAATACCTGACGGTTGGGATGTTACAATTCTCCCCCACTTGACTTAGACTTCGTCCTCGAAGTCTGCTGTAGCGAATAACTCCGGGTAATGCTCCCGCATCTTAGCCTCCGACTCCCATGTCCACTCGGATCCCCTCAGATGCTCTCATTGTATCTTTACCAACGGAACCTCCTTGTTGCGCAGGACTTTCACTTTCCTTTCCAAAACGGCAATCGGCCTCTCAATATAATTAAGGCACTCATCAATCTGAATGTCATCCAGTGGCACCACCGCCTCCGGGTCCACAATGCACTTTCCCAACTGCGAAACGCGGAAAGTACTGTGGATCCGACTAAGCTCCTCCGGCAGCTCTAGTCTGTAAGCCACCTTGCCAACCCTGGCAATGATGCTGAACGGCCCAATATATCGGGGACCCAATTTTCCCCTCTTCCTGAAGCGGATCACACCCTTCCAGGGCGAGACCTTCAGGAGTACCATGTCACCGACCTGAAACTCTAACTCGGATCGGCGTCGGTCAGCGTAACTCTTCTGCCGACTCTAAGCGGTCTGCAGCCACTGTCTAACCTGCTGAATCTTCTCGGTAGTCTGCAAGACCACCTCCGTCCGACCCATCACCCTGTGACCAACCTCTCCCCAACAAACCGGGGTGCAAACATCTCCGCCCATACAACAGCTCGAATGGTGGGGCGCTAATGCTGGAATGATAGTTGTAGTTGTAGGCGAACTCTGCAAGCGGTAGGTGGGAATCCCAGCTCCCACCGAATCGATGACACACGCCATCAATATATCCTCGAGGGTCTGAATGGTCCGCTCGCTCTGACCATCAGTCTGCGGATGGAATGTTGTGCTGAAGTGCAACCGCGTGCCCAACTCCTCGTGAAACTTCTGCCAGAAGCGGGAGGTAAACCTGACATCCCGATCAGAGACAATGGAAACGGGAACCCCATGGCGAGA